ATTTTACTTTTTTTACTCTGAACAATATGGAAAAGTTCTGTCTGCTGACTCTTGCTTGAATCTTGCTTGCATTACTGTAGACAAGAACTACCTACTCCCATGGTTTTAAATTTTTGGTCATTTCAGTGACACAACTTGTATGCTGGTTGTACATCTCTGATAGATTGTCCACAAATAAGGCTTCATTTAAAGGGACTAAAAGGTTTTTACAGTGCCGTGTGAGCCAGTACATCACTATTTCTGAAGCTTTTCTGCACACAGAACTCCCTTTGAAGTCAACGGGAGCTCTGTCTGAATAAGGACTTCAGGATTTGGGCCTCAGGATATAAATGCTGTGATCAATCTTTTGAGCATAATGAATAACATTTTCTTGGATTTCAGAACCATACTAAGCCAACTAGTAGCCCCAGGGATTCAAAATGGGTTAAACAGGAGAATCTGCTTTGTTTCAACCTACATCTTTATTTAGCTTTTAAATCAGCATAGTCCCCATGCCTAGTACTGACCTGCCCAAAAAACCCTCCAACAATAAGACCAGATGTTTTAATAGTTAGTTTTACAACCAAACCTATCATAGCATAAGACACTATGAAACAGAGTTGTGTTCAATGAAAAACAAACATACTTGCTGTAGACTGACCTGTTTAGAAGTTGCGACCTAAACGTACAGTCTGGAACAAAAGACTTGAAGGCTGAGAACTTTATTAATTATGTGACAGGGAGGTCTGTAGGCACTGATTTTGATCAGAACATCAAAGTACCAGACACTGTGCAAACATCAGAGTTAGTGATACAAAAAGTCAACAGTCCGGGTAGGCAAGACAGATACTCCCTGTCTCCTATTCCTTATAATTACTCTGACTTTATAGATGGAAAGTTCAGCTAGGGAGAGATTATATGACTTACCTAATACCTCTCACAAGGTCTAGAATGAAACCTGACTGCCAACCTGGTGCCTTACTGTCGAGACTACACTCCCCATTTTACACAATGATAACAGTATATTACAGGACTTAAAAAATCTTAGCTTCCTGTCCCTGTCGCAGCCTTGGCCGAGCTCCAGCATCCCCAGCCACATTCCCCCCCAAAACCAAAGGCCTAGGTTCTTCCCATTACCTGTGATGAGAGTTTTGCCAGCGCTGATTTCAGTGGCAGCAAGTCTAGATCCAGTGATAAATGACACCCTGATATAGGCAGCTGTCAGAGCAAGCAGCAGGGCATCAGCAGTGTGGGGCAGAGCAAAACTCTCTTTTTTCAACCCTCACAGGTTATCATGCAACTGGATTAATGAAATGAGGCATAAGAGAACTAAGAGAAAAGATAGACTGAAACAAGAGAAAGAAGGAGAAATATTGCAAACTCTTGTTGCCTGAGCAGAGGTAAGAGCCTGAACATTTTGCAGGCTCTTACCTCTGTGAAAACATGGGTAGAGGTGCACAGGTGAACAGCCCAGTTCCCTTCCTAGAGTCCCAGGTCTGATGGCTGGCCCTTGAGCGTTTTCGTGGAAGAACTCCTGCAACTTCTCTTTCCATCCGCAGTCAGTGGTGAGTCTAAAAGAACTGTAAATACCATGTTGGTATGCATTGCAATGGGAAAATGTTGAAGCCTTCAGGTGTGAATATATATGGGCCTGTCACTAGCAGACAGAAAATTGTTTTGGAGAAGCAATTCCAAAGCTGATGAGGGAAACAATGTATTCCAATGTATTTATCCCAATGTCTTACCTGGAATACGAGCAACGGAACTCCCAAACACAAGTTCAGCAGCTAGAAGAATTTCTCCACAGTATCAGTAAGACTGAGGAGAAGATCTCTACTATATACCAGATATGCCCTGACACAGCTGAACCTACTTAAAGTTTTAAACAAGTAAAGTCTTGCCCAGCCTACAACTTGCAGTGATGTAAACAGCCTGCTGATTCATTTTCTTTTTTACATCTGAGTAATGAGTTCCCTTCCCTCTCCCTCCTTCAACTAGGTCAAAAACCCTCTGACTTCCCCAGTTTCTTCAAAGACTTGGCTCTGCTTCCCTGTGTGGATTTAGTCCAGGTGCTAGGCTGGTTCCTCCCTAGAGGCTTCCCGGTGCAATCCACTGCCTTATCTTGGTTCCTGATCTTGAGGGAAGAGGCAAAACAGCCAGCAAGGAGAGGCATGTAGCAAGAGACAGCTCCAGACCACTCAGCAGTTCAATTTGTCTGCCTCAAAGACGAGGACAAAGTAATGTATTTTTCCCCTCAAATTCAGAAACAATGAGGTTTTTTTTTAGTTATAGCAAAATGTCTCCCTAAGTCTCCTCTCCTCCCGCTAGGGTATGGGGCCCTGCTCATTCCCAGGGAGCGCAGAGATGCAGGGCACTCAGAGAGCCCATCCCAGGGAGCTTCAAAGAGTCCCCTTATGCAGCCCACCACCGCCACAGGGAGATGGGTGGGCACGGCATGGGCTGGCAAGTCACGAAAGACAAGGGCAAGGGAACGGTTGTGTGTGGCACTGCTCAGCAGCTTCAGGAGTGACCCATGGGGCAGCTCCTTCACAAGGTGGTCAGATCACTGCTATGTGATCCTAGCTGGCAGGGAGCACTCAACTTTTAGGATCCTACAGAATCTGAGATTGGTTCTTGACACTTCCTTCACCCCCAATCCAATTTGGAAACTTTCTAGGCAATGGAATTTGGTTGCTTATGCCCAAAGTGAAGACTGCAACTTGCTTTTATCTGTGCTATTTGCATGTATCTTTCTTGGGGACAGGTATAAGAAGATGGGGCTGGAGGATTTGCTGTGTGATAAATTCAGGCACAATCCCACTTTTTGCTTGCCAGAACACCCTCTTCCCTTGCATTTGAGGACTGTAGGATAAAAAGTTATTATATGTCATCGAAGGATATATGTTAAGATCCTATCTGCACTATGAATTGTAACTGTGTTGTACATGGGCATCCTGATTTGATACAGTAGTAGCTGAGATGGCCTCTGGGGTAGCACCACTAGAAACAAATAGTGCTCTCCCTGGAGCACTACAAGCTATGAAATGATTTCCTGAAATAAGCATCTTCCTGCTGGCATCCAAGATGAGGCTGACAGTGACTCCCAGGCTGCAGAATATGAATGAAACTTGTATTCATGCCAGCTGTGTTAGAGATCCAGTACAACACACTGTATATCAAACAGAAGAAGGATTCATCTAGGGAAAATAATTTCAGCTTCCAAAGAGAGACTAAAGGCGGCTAATAAAAATACATTTTCTTAATGGGCCTTTGTTGCTCTTGCTTTAATCTTCAAAAACCTGTATCTTCACACATTATAACACTAATGATTACCTTTGTTTTTCATTCTTACTGACAAAGAAATGAAATACACAGTAAATGTGTTAACAAGAGTGCATTGCAGTCTTAGGACCAGTGCAACAGTGGTTTCCAGATGGAAACCCAGCTTAGAACTAGGCAAATGTTGTTTACCTGCATTACCTCTTTGTTGCCTTACTGTTTAAGAAAATATCAGTGAAAGACAACTTGGGTTAGAGAAGTAAAAAGATAATTAAAAAATGGTCTCTCTCAGATTGCTTCCATCATCACATTTAGATCATGCTAATCTCTTCTTTGTGAAGCATAGCAGCTCCCTTACAGCTGCGTATGAAAACAGCTCCTCTGAGTTCCCAGCTCAAGTGAAGCAAGTGGGTAGAGCAAAAGAACCGACATGAGGCACCCTGTGCTCTGTTTTTAGCTCTGCCACTAGAAGGGCATGACAGGGGGTAAGGCGTTCAATGCCTCTGTGTGTCAGTTCCCCGGATTTCATCAGCTGATGAAGTCTGTTGATGACACAGAGCTGGGATATGCAGTTAAGACAGAGGAGTGGTAGGCCACTGTACAGGCGGAAATCAAACTTGATAGAGAGTAGAAAACCAGAAATGGTGTTGAAGGTGTGGAGCACAAAGTGCAAGATGGTGCCCTTGGGGACCAGACCACAGAATCTTCTCCTACAAGCTGAGACGTCCTCAGTTGAGGGCAACTGCTGGTCACTTGTTAGAAGATGATGTACAGGGCAAGAACTCAAGGGGAAAGAGCTCAAACTCACATTAAAGAACAACAGTACAGTAACGGTCAAGAAAATCATTAAGCTAGAAATGAGAAGAGCAGTGAGGTCTGTGGTGGTCTTCTAGCAAGGGTAGTTGAGACACATATTCTATACTAACATCTTTCAAAAAATGGTGCTTCATGAGTTTATGAGAATCAAATTCCAGTCCTATGATCCTAACTTTTGAACAGTTTTAGCTCCTGACGTTCAAACTGGTTATGAAAGGGGAACTGTTTATTGCCTATAGTAACAGAAATGTTCTCAGGGATTACTTTGTTTGTAAATTTGACTATGGCAATGGTTTGAGTGTTACCTGCATGTTTAAAATAGAAGCAAAATACCACGAGTAACATAAAATGGAACTTACTGGTCCAGTTTAATTGGCTACAGTAAACAAAGCAGAAATATTTGACAAAAACTAGAAACTGTGGAAAGTTTATTTGATCTATTATGTTATTTCAAAAGTAGTAACCTACCTGGTGCCTTATTAGTTAAACACAAACAGGGATTACATTTCAATATAAACACTTTATCTTAGTAGCATGCCTTCATAATTTTAGTCATCTTAAGGTACTAACTTACCTACTTATTACCTGCTTTCACAAGTCTCATTTTCTGTTAGTTTTTCAGAAGCAGTTGTAAAGTCATTTCTTGACTCCATTAACATTATTTTTCCTGTTATTTTTCAAACCAAATTCCATGATTTCTTTTCCAGACCTTACACAGTATTTCTGTCAAGACCTCTTTTTCCAGGTGTGAATATATTTCAATATGTATACAGAACCCAAGGAAATATAGCTACACAGATTTTATTTTAATTATAAGCACAAGGTCACAAGCCGAGCTTTGCTCTACTTTAAAATACGTATTTCAACTAACTGCCAAGCTTCCCTGCTGTTAACGAAAGGGATCTCAAATACTACAGGGGAAGATCTTAACTTTCATCTACTATCATCATTGAAATGTAGTCTCTGTAGCGAACAGTATTTGTTTCTGGATCTAGAGCTGTGGAGAGCATGTCCTCCATTTCTTCCTGAGTAAAGGGCTCACCTAAAAGACAGCAGAGAATAACACTTTGTCTTGATAAACATTCTTTTCAGGGCTGGCAAATTACCCTTCTTTTCCCTTGCAAGGATCTCCTTTCAGTCCTCACACAGAGGAGAAAAAGGGCAGTACTAAGGATCCAATTCCTTCACTTTTGCCAATGTGAGTCGTGCACACCAAGCAAGCTGGTCTAAAGGAAAGGAGACAGAGGGCCTGGATCTTCTGATCTCCTTTTAGTTCACCAACTCCAAAACAGCCTGTTCCTCTCTGCCACAGGGATTTCGAAACAACCGTTTTTGTCAGAGTGAATTCTTCTAAAGTGTACATTAGAATTATTATCTATCCTTTCACTTGTATTTACATCATGAAAGGCTTCTGGTTTTTCTCTTTTAGGAGCTTCAAAGCTGCTGATCACCTACTGCATCCCTCTTTGAGAACAAGGTCCCCATCTGAGGATAGGTCTTGCGCAAAGCCTGCACGTCATTTTGTACTTGAGGCAGGCAAGCATGAGTCAGCCATGCAAGAAAAGCAGGCTCTTCAAGGGATATTGAGGATTACATGATATATGACTTAAATCTGGTCTTTGAATCTCTTTGTTTGCGTACGGCACTAGAATTAAAATCAAGATAATGTAGGAATGAATGAGCACTGAAACTACCTGAAACAACTGGAAATCTAAATTACAATTTCACAGGAGGACAGAAAAAGAGGCACATCCTTAGGAAGCACAGAAATGTGCACAGAATCATAAAATATCCACACAAGACTGAATTATGACTCTCAATAATAATAATCTCTATCTTATAATGTCTGCAAGTAGGCAGATAAATAGGTAGGATAAATGTTCTTTCCCTGCATTATTCACCAGTGAAATGTTCTAGTCTGCAGCCACTCATCACAGCAACAGTATTGTTTGAAGACAATGTATCTACTCCCACAAGTTTTGGCATGCAGAATGAGGACCTCAAGGTGCCATATACACATGTAATGTTTATTTACTTAAATACTGATATTACAAAAGTCATGTTACCTTCTTCAGTCAAATATTTGACCAGCTCCTCTTTAGTAACACATCCACATTTATTCTCATCCAAAGCCTTTAAAGAAAAAAAATAAAACTTATGGTTTTAACCACATTGAATCAAGAATCAGCAACTTCTTTCCAGCAATTAGGTACTTGAATATTTAGTTACAGACCTCAAATGCATGTAGAAGAACATCTTCTGGAATAGGCGGGTAGCTGAAACCATTGAATGAGAAAAGTTAAGTCACTGTTTGCCAGACTGCTGTACTATTCTGAAAGATAAAATATGAGTCCTAAAGGAAAGGGGAAACTTATTTTCTGTGAGAATTTACTAAGTTTGTCTATCAATCATTTAATTCCAGCTTGACTGTTTGGAACTGTCCATATCTTCACCTCTTGTGTCTTTTATTGTACTCCTGTTTAATTTTCCTTGTGTTAGGGAGCCAGATGAATGGCTTCTGCATGTCTGGGCTGGCTGAGTCGGTTAGCAGGAATCAATAATAGCCAAATCATTCCACATAGCCAATGCACTGAACAGAAGATGGCCAAACCAAGAAAACAAAAGTTTTGTCCAGGTACGCTGGTAGCTAGGCAACAGATCACCTCGTGGGACTTGGACAGTCTAACGAGCTGATGATGAGCAAAGAAGGCTGGTAGCTATAAAAGAAAAGGTCTGTCACTAACAGTTTCAGAGAGATGGGAGAACTGGGCACGTGTGTGCGTGCATATGTGTGCCTGATTTCAGAACTGGAAAAGAAGCCCTGTGCAGCAACAGAGAGCTTCCATATCCCAGCAGACTCTCACCAACCCCCAAGAATACTAAAGAGAAGGCATTGAAAGCAGGGAGGTTCTAACTGCTTGACTGTTTCATCTAGACCCACCTCACTCCTTTACTATCTAAAAATCAAATGTGCTAAGAAGAGGCCTTGTTTTTTGTGATCCAAATCTCATGTGCCCTTGGATAAGTGAACTATGGGCATAGTACCCCAAGAGATAAAGTGGGTCTTGACAAGCCTGCACTAGCCTGGAGAAAGTGTGTGGCATTTTTGTGTGTGTGTGTGTGTGTGTGTGTGTGTGTGTGTGTTTGGAGGGGGTGTGGAGGAGGAGAAGAGAGCGTAGAGCAGCATTGTATCATTTTCTGAAAGTGTGAACGTCAGTGTGGAAGCAGAAATGTGCCATGAAGGCCAGAGAAGGCAAAGGTGCAGGAACCTGGGAAGGCAATGCACCTGCGGTGGCACACCGAGACCCAAACACTGCTGGCTGGTCCGTGTCCAGGCACGGATGCAAAGACTCTCAAACACAGCCCCAAGGTGGACCCCGCTGCCTCTGGATGCTGCGAGACAGTTTTGGGAAATCCTATAGCTATTTCATGTGTAGAACATCCTCCTACCAAAGGCCCTCTGTGCAAAATAACTTCGCATTATTGGACAAGACTGAGGCTCTCAAAACCCTTGGCTACCACCTTTAAAAGGAAAAAGAAATTCCCTATAAGTAACCTTGCTTTTAGTGCAAAATATCAAAATAGCACAAGTTCCTGTGTACACACAAAGATTTCTATGTACCTTTGAATAATGAACAGCGTTTTTGTTCTAGACTTTTATATCGGCAGTCTTCTAGAGTGCTAGTTGTGTACATTAAACTGCACCTGGCCGTCATTTTGAGACATGAACATGAAGCCGATTTATACAACTTCTTAAAAATACACTGTAACAGACTCTGCTTCTCAGTAACTGTAACTCACATGTTCAGAGAAAATAATGGTTATGACCTTAATTTGCATATAAAATATTTCTGAGATGCACAAAACATGTTGAATAGCAAGTTAATTCCGATTCACATTAAAAATACAAAAGCTACACATTATCACAATTCATGATTATAAGCTGTTATTATTTATATCATCCGTACAACATAATTTTATGTAAACGAAGTAATTTTGAAACAAAATCTATCAAGCTAATGTAAACTGAGTTTAAATAACAAAAAAAATCTGTACTCCTTCCAGTTACATAAAATTACTGTAGATGTATTTATTCAGAATCAACCCTGTCAATCTGGAATAAACTACAGACACAGGAAATCCACTTTCCATTACCTTCTGTCGAGTAGTACTTTTGTCATCACTGGCAGAAATTTTTCCAGCTGAATGTATCCGGTCGGTTCTTCTTCTTCTACCTAAAAATAAAACTTAAGTATGGCAGGTTATATGACTCATTAGCAAACTAATATGAAAACCAGAAAATTGGGGTGGTTTCTGCATTAAAATTACAGAGTTAGACTTTGAATATTTATATCAGGTTTTTAATATCACATGGCACCATAACATCTGAGTGAAATGCTTGTGATCAAATAGAAAGAAATTAGAGGAAGAAATAATATCCCAGGCAAAATACAGACCTGCTATTATAGACACTTTCAACAACTCAGTATTGCCCTCTTGTGCTTCGAAACCATTCATGCAAAGGAACTGGAAGCCTAGTAACTGATCTTATCTTCCACAGTAACTCAGCAGAGGTTTAAACATTCAGACTGCATTCATACTAGTAAAGTCTAGCAGGACCTGGAACATTCCCAAGCAGTGTAATGTGACCACCTGTAATAGCAAACCATTAGCACGTTCCCTGGCATGATTTTGGCCTGTGCCACCTAATGCTCCCCCCAGCAGTCACCAGGCCTGGCTAGGACCTTGGGGACTGTTCTCCAGCAGGCTGCTTTGCGCAGCCACTCCACATAAAACATTTACCAGGGTAGACATGAGCTGCTCTGTGCCAGCTGGCTTCAACACCCAAGGATGTCTCTGGGCATATTTAATGTGCTAGTTTGGACATAGCCCCAGTCTAGTACACCTCAAGGATGGAATTTGTTGCCTCCACATTTCATAGGCAGAGAGAGTCATCAGGGGAAGGACCACAGAGGCAGGCAGACTGAGTCAGGGCAGTCTGAAACAGTCATAAGGCACCCCATAAAATGCTACACAAAGAAAAGCTTCCCTTTGTCTCCCAATTAACAGATTAGTCCCAAAACATTGGGGACTTCTAGCAGCATTCTCACTGTATTCCTATACTTCCACTGGAGATGAGCAACATGGTAAAAACTGCTTCCTATCATTGAGGTGCATCCCTTCCTTGAAAACTTCAAGTTTTACTCCCAAAAGGAGCCCTCTTAATGGAGCTAGCCTCTTCCTGTCTGTGTTAAACTGGATGCATGCCTTGTGGTCTCACATGGCAGCAGTGTCACATGGCAGCAGTGACACCTTGCTAGGCTCTCCAAGACACAGCTCAGATTGAAAGAAGACTCAAATAGGCACTGATTTGAAATCCTCTGACTGAGCCAGGAAAAGACAAAGTAAGAAATCTTCCTCCTGGGAGCTGGGTCAGACCTGGGGTGATGCCTGATACATCCAGTTCCTTAAATGGAGAGCTGCAACTGCTGCTGCATGCTCTTTTCCAGTGCTCTTGAGGGGTTTTGGTTGCTAAAAGCAGGCAGCCACCATCTCTTCCTGCTTTAGAGTGGAAATTGGCTTGAAAAAGCACTTTTTCCCTTCTGTTTGGTGAGCCTAGTGGAAGGGAACTTTAGCAAGGAAATGAAGCTGTTGCATGCTTCATGCTAAATCAAATGGTACCTTTTACCATTACAGAATCATTTGTTCTACTGCTTGCTTGATTGAAAATATGTAACAAAATACCTGGCAAAACTTAACTTCTTTCCAGTGACATAACAGTTAGCCAATACACTGAACTATTCCATGCATCACAAATATTGAGATGTATAAGTACACAGCATGTTTTAGGGAACATCCGTGCTTCAACCAATATTAGGTCAGAAGTCCACAGAAACAGAAAAAGAAGTATCGTAGTTATTTATCAGAAATAGATAGACGTGTCTTATATTAAGCAGAAGAGCCAAAAGCAAGGACCCAAAACATCCATGAAGATGGTAGTAGGTTATATAAACCATGTTTAAGAGCCAAAAAACATTGTATCTGCTCATCCAAACAGTTGAAGGTCATCCTAATTTTCATACCAGAAGAACACACCAGCAATGACCACTTCAGAGCTCAATGTAACCAATACCTGTGAAAATGTCAGCCCTCACTGACAAGTATCATCCTATTTGCCTCTTTTTGTTGGTGTGTTATTTGTACTTTGCCTTCAGAAGGCAGTCTGTGGAAGAAACGTGTCCTTCCTGAAAATGAACCTAGTCCTGGGAGGTGATGAGCAACCTCAGTTTCATCTGACCTGGAAAGAACAGCTTCCATTTCAGTGGCTCTACAGGCCCAGCAATATCTTGAACTGTTAAAATTAATCCTATTTCTCTCCTTGGATAGATATGTGAATAAACTGAATATATTAACCTTGCCTAAGTCAGTAAGTATTCAGACTTGCAGGTATATGTATTCTCTTACTCTTCCTTATGCTCACTCCTATTCTATAGCTCATTTCCCATTGATGTATTCCTTCTTCTGTAATTCCTCCTCTTTTCACAGCAGTTGTGACAATAACAGTATTTGCTTGTTCAGAATCTGTGAGTTTTGCTCTATCTCTTTCCTTTGGGTACATCCACAGCTTCCATAACAACTGTACTCTAGCACTCATTATGTTTTGTATCCTACTCTCACAGCCATACTATTATTGTCCACACAACATTTGGGGACTTGAGTCACAAAGACACAAAAACACCTTCCAGAGTTATCCAGGTGATCTGTAGCAGAGCAGTGCCCTGAACCTGGGATTTCAAACTCCAGGCATTGTAGTAACCCTCAGATTAACCTTCACCATCTCTAGGCTTATCATTTAATCTTAACTTTTTAAGTAGGCCTAAAGATATGATATTAAGTACAACATTTAGCATAAGGCAATATAGGAAACAGTACATGATAATTTTTAGAGATAAGATAATTATATGAATGCTGATTTGGCAGATAGGAATAATATAGGCAACATATGCTAGTTTAGCTACAATAAGGCTAATAGGAAGACAGATGACTGAGAGACACAAGTAGTGAGAAACAGAAATGAAGCACAGCTTACAATGGGAAAAAATACTGGGGAAATAGCTTGGTTACAAAGCAGCCAACAGAGACAATTTTTACTTTATCTAGATTAAGATAAAATGGTATTACCACAGTCAATGGTAATGGTATCTTATACAAATTAAGATATACTAGTGATTAACATCATGCATTAAGGGTTCTGCAAGAAGATAGTGCTCTTCTGGTACTAAAACTATGCTAAGGTTTCATTTACAGACACTGTGAAACCTTCTTTGAGATTTAACTTCCAGTTCAGTGTTCTTTAAGGTTAACCATTACTCTTGTATGTATTCTTTCTTCTTGTAGTATTTTTACTTCAATTTAATATCCTTATAATCAACAGTTGCATACATGTTATACTGTTGTATCTCAAGAATCTTCTGCCTCATAGCTGTATTGCATTGTACTTGGTTATGTATTACTTATCTCAAATTTTCAGTAATGCTGACAATTGAAAGAAAAAAAAAAAAAAGGAAGTCCAATCTGTTTGTGGGAGGAGGCAGGCCTTAAAATCTCCTGGATCCCCTGGACCCCGGGGCAGGGGTCAAAGCATCCCCTTCCTTTTCTCAGTTCTGTATCTTGAGTCAGTTGCACTGTTCATTTGCTGCAAACAAAAATCTCTGTGGGCCATTAAAAATATCATCTATATTAAGCACCATAATTTCTCTTTCCATTTTGTCTTCTTTGTCAGTGGGAGCTGGGACAATCTGGTACTGAGAGTACAGAACCAGCCCAGACAGATTGCAGTATCATGTTAAAAGATCTTTCCCCTCTGATGGTTCTTTGCACTTCCTCATCTGAAGCAGCTGCATCATTTTCACAAGACTTAGCACAAGATTTCTCACACTCAATTCTGATCTACAAGAGACCAGACAAGGCTACTGAGGAGAGAGTACTACTGCAACCATCCAGATTTTTGTTGGTGACAGGAAGAAAAGAGAGATCAATTCCCAGTATCCTGACCTATATATGAAAAAGAGAAAAATCCTTCCCTCACCTCTCAGCCCCAACATCTCCATTCCTTAAGGCAGCATATCTGTTTGCAAAAAGAATGTGAAGTCTTTTTCCCACTTATCTATAACTGAGAAATCTCAAGACTGGGAGAGACCTCAGGAAGGACAGAAAGTTGAGAGGTCTAGCTATAAGACAGCAATAACAGGACCCAGTGAAAAAATACAGCAGGTCTTCCCTCTGTGTATTTTTCGAATTTGATGTGTAATTTTCATACCTGCTCAAGAACTAATTTTTATTACTTAATCTTAAGTGTGTGCCCATGACAAGTCCAGAAAAGTGAGATGGTTAGGGTTTGGATATCCTAATCCAAATGAGGTTTAGGACATTCTTTTTCATCAGCCAAAACCAATTTTTCCTCCATTTTCTGTAAACACCCCTCCACCTTGGCACAGTGTTGTAGTGACCTTCTGGGGTTAAAGAGAGTGAAAAACTCCTCATTTTAACCCATCAATGTTGTTACCTCATCAGCCTAAAGGCTTGCTTCAGGGCAACCTGAGAGACTGCCTGGCTGCCTCAATCACTTCCATGACACTTCCAACCTCTGGGAAAAGAGCTTAGGTTTCCCACACAGCCAGGCAGAAGGGCCAAACTTGTGCAAGTTTAAGATTGAAAAAAAAACGAAGGATCTAAACATTTACCTTTGCAAGCAGTTCATGTAGTTCTGCCTCAGTTGGGAAGCAACCCAGTGACCTGACAATTGAGCCAATCTCTCTGAAAGAAAGAAAGAAAGAAAGAACATCTTTGTCAGTAAATCTGCAATACAAGGGTGTCTGTGGAGAATAACATGTCCAGACTAGATGCAAAAGTACTGAAAAGCTGTAAAAAAGAGTACTAATGAGATTTATGGTATGATTGAAAACAAAATAACAGAAGCATCAATATGGCTTGTGATTTTCAGTCCAACTCTACAACACAGAAATTCAAGCACATTTGAATATGTATCCACAGTGCTGGTGGTTCCCATGAGTCAAACCTCTGTGGTTTCCTCATCTTCACCAGCACATTTGGTGGAAAAAATAGATTTCCTAATGAAAATGGTAGATACAAGAAGCAAAGACCTTTGTAAAATCATCTTACAACAGTAAGGCCTCAAAAATAACCAAGCGCACATAAAATTGTACAGGTCAGTCTTTGGCCTCCTCAGACAGGTCCTGAGGAGCACCCATTCTGATCGAAAACATGTGAAAAGCACTACAATAAACAAAAGAGAGGAAAAGGCTGGCTGCACAAAAATAGTTACAAAACAAAACCCAGTCCCACACATGCAGTTGTTATGAAACGAAGCCATCTGCTCAAATGACTAAGTGAAACCTTGCCCCCTGTGGACGTGAATGGAAGTTTGGCCATTGGCCTCAGTGAGGTCAGACATTTAGTCCTATTTTTATAATCCTTGTCCATGCATCCTATTTCTAGTATTGTTATACTGTATTTGATGCTCTCACTCCTGCACTCCCTCGTCTTTTCCAGCTAAACGGTACTTGTAAATATTCTCTGCCTCCCCCAGTAAAACACCCAACCCAAATCATGCCTCTCTGCTGTCCCGCACTACTTCTACTCCCACAGACTGCCAGAGATGGGAAGGCTGCCATCGACCTCCTGCTTCACCTCTCACATCAGCAAAACTGCAATGTGACTAAGGTAAGCCAGGCCCTGAAAGAGTTTGCAAAATCTGGCATTGCTGGCTGCTGTTTCTGGCAGTTTGTGTGTGTGTGCCAGCATGAGGATGTTGTTTGAAGTGTCTGCGGTCAAAAGTCATGTCACATTTGGTAGTAACATAGAGTTTAAAGGACCCAGATAGGAAATTGTATTTTCCTCCCAGCCACTTCCTCTGACTTAGTTCAGCAGCTGCAGTTTCTGCTGTGTAGTTTCTAGCATACAAAAATGATTGTTAAAGTGAGTTTAGGCCTGTACAGGTTTTGTAACACAGGTGCAATTAAATTTTGGTCATGGTTTTTACCCTAGATATAACACTTTCAATGACAAGACTTGCAAAATCATGAAAGCCCTTGACTCAGGGTGTATTGTAAGCAGCATGAAACAATACCGTCTTCCTCATGCTTAATTTCTTAGTAACCTGCATTTGCATTAGGAGTCATGCAATACTGGTGTTGGCCTGTCAAACCAGGGTAATTTTCCATATTCTTCACAGATATCCGATATTTCAGGCAGTAACATTCATACGTCTACAATTGTGGTTAAGAATTGTGCTGTACTGCCACCTTCTGATACAAGATAATCAGCCATTAATAATCCCATTATTGTACTACAGCCCTGCAATATGAAGCTAGGAATAATTAGACAATAAATTATTGTTCATTGTCAGTAACTGTACTATGATAAAAAATTAATGGGAAATTGTGCATTTACTGTGTTAAATACGCTTTTGAATGTCCCCTCTCACATGTTATGACTTACTGTCTGAATGAACAAATTTTTTTAGAAGTCTATCTGTATCATTTCATTGTTGTAACATTTTATCAAGCTCTGTAGAGTGAGGAGTGTAACAAATTTTACAGCTATTTAGCCAGGACAGCAGATGTAAATGACAAACAAAGAAGCAACTAGTATGTCATGGTGCAGTGAGGGCTAGGGGCTCCCCAGGGCTGGGGCGTGGCAGTGGCGGAGGCTCCCCGCGGTGGGTGGCAGGGCAGGGCCGGGCAGCC